ACTTCCAATGTGGAAATTTCCATTCAACTCTGTCACCCTAGGTCAGGTTTCTCTCTGTTGCGGTGTGTGAAATGTCTGGTTGTAGGCATGAAGGTGGAGAGGCTGCAGGATGACAGACAGAGAGGGTGAGAGTTTAAACAAGAGCGGTGGCAGACAGAGTTGTCTCCTTTTTTCAGGCGATATATACCCATCTCTGTTCCCTCACCTCTCCTCACATGACTAAAGAGCTTACAGTGGTTTAAAAAAAGGGAACTGAGTATAACGGCTGGGAGAGACAGAGGTGAAGAGGGAAGAGCAGTCACAGAATCCTCACCTCTCCTCTTTTTATTTTAGACACGCAAATTTAGCAACCTCGCCGAGAGGAAATTGATTTTTTTTTTCTTCCAGCATTGTGACTGTGACCTTCAGAACATTCACTGTGTAACCACAAAGTTTTTATTGACTGCAGAGATAGGGGAGCCAGCCCTGAATAACCACCGTCTGTGCTTCCTCCGGACAACTCCTACAGGTGACGGAGGTCTGTCTCACCACAGAGCATATCAGAGCAGTTCCTTCCTAATATTTATTATTATCATGAAAAGATGGAAATATAGAGTCATGTAGTTCTATCCTTTCATTTGACGATAGCGACTGTGGAGCATGAAGTCTGTTGCTAGCACTCTGTTAGACTTGTGGTTACCATGTGTGACTCATGGCTCCAGTATGCAACACTCCCTCGTGCTCCCTGCCTGTCTCAGAGTCCCTCCTCCTTCCCCAAATTTCCCAACAGCTCTCTCCCTTTACTTCCTGCCACCCGTCTTCCCAGAGGCTTCAGATATTCTTTTTTCACACTCTTTGTCTTATTGGCTCTTACGAGGCAAACCTAAACCTTCCTTTTTCCTTTCCTTTTATTTACAGTTTACCGCCTCCACGGATTCCCCGCCACCTGCTTTTTCCTTTTCATTTCTGCTTCCTATTTGTCTCCATATCCATTAAATCTACTCTTTGAACACGTCATTGGTTAGAATCCATTAGCTGTTTGGGTTTCTTTCTGAGAAAAGGCAAAGTATTCATCAAAGCAGATTCTCAGTGTGTTCGGGGACTTTAATCTACGACACAGACTTTCCTGTGTGTGAATATGTGTGTGTGTGTGTGTGCGTGCTGCTCACTATAAGAGGATGTGTCGCACTGTGGAACACATAGCTGCTAATTTAGGAATAAAAAATGCCAATGAGAACAGGCAGCTGTCTTTTTAGTGCGGTGCAGAAACACAAACACTCCAGCGTCCGGCATCCAGACCCGCGGGCGGGTGTGTGGAGTGTTTGAAAAATAGAAACAAGTCGCACATACATGTGTGTTGCATATCTGAGCACACACATAGAGGGGGGGGGGCTCATGCAGAAATCCCACCTCAGTTACAAAGACGTGTAGTTCAAGTTCTATTTTTCTTTTCTTTTTTTGTTATGAGTGTGTTGTTTTGTCATACACAGACAGGTTCAGTGCTGTCTGAGTGGGTGAAAATTGTCACACTATTTCATAATGAAAAAAACCTCAAACGGGGAAGAAAATGCGCCTCAGCCTTGAACGTCAGTAGTTTTCACCAGAGGACGTGCAGCTGACGAAAACACATACGAAACTACCCCCGGGGCTGTGACAGACTCACACAGAGGCAGCTGCTGTTGTATATTTGTGTTTGGAGGTGCCTGTTACCTTTAGCTGTTTCTTTTTCCGTCCGATCGGGGTAATGTTTTCCAAATGATTGTCGCCACTAAACGTTTGAAAAAGAAAAAGGCCATATGCCCGACAATGATAAAACTTCTAAAAAAGCCCACCTATGGTGGCATTTATGATGAGCAGCATTTTATGGTAGAGTCGCTTGATATCAGGAGAACAGGCAGTATGAAATTGGGGCACTGTGATGGTGACATGGCCAGTAGTGCCAATGATGTCAAGTACTCAGAATAACTCAATTGTTTTGGATAGAAAAGGCTAACTGCATGACAGCTCTAGTATTTTGAAAAAAATGCACTACTGTGTACAGTGTTTGTGCTATTGTTTGCTTTTTTTTTAACATATATTCATGTTTCCTCCGTTTTTCTCTCACTTTCTGGCTTTAACATGTCAGTACAACTGCCTGCGTTGCCAGTCAACACAAATCCAATAAAATATTTAACAACCTCACGACCAGTGGCCCAAAATTAAATCAAACAACTGACCTGAGGGGGAACACCAGTCAGAAACCTTACCAAAAGTTATTCATACTAGTGACAACATAGTAAAATGTGAAAAAAGGGAAGAAATTCTCAAACTAGTGACTATAGTTATTGGTGGATCGGTTTTTGCAACAAATTGTGTAAGTTAAGTGAAGTTAGGAAAAGGAGTCGAGAAGTAAGAGTTGTTGGAAAGGAGAATATGGGAAGAGAAAGAGAGTCTGCCAATTTGTGGAGTTTTTATGTTAGGGATAAATGAGAGGAAAACACTGAAGAAAAGGGGGGGAAGGCTAAAGTGCATGGACATGCACAAGGGTTTGAGGGAAGAGAAGCAGTTGAAGAGATGCCTGAAGAGGGGACAGACGCTGAGCCAAAGAAGAAGAGCAGCATGTAACCCTGTTTAGATAAGGAGTCAGTTGTTACAGCTTTCAGACGGTGAAAGAAAGACGCAGTGAAAGGAGCCAGTGACGTATCGAAAATAAGTGGGGAAGCAGTCCCAGAGAGGAGAAAGCGAGATGCTGACGAGCTGAAAACAACACAGATAGGCAGAGCAGTGTGACACAGGCAGAACAGAAAAGCCTTTATCCCTGCACCAGGCGCTCTGCAGAGGGTTCGTGACCGGGGGGAACAAACCACCCCTCAGCTATGGGCCACCAGCATTTCTGTGGAAAAAAACATGGACCATGAAACGGTCCAAAGCCATGTAGTCTTAGTAAAGAGTTTAGCGAGTTTTGTTGTTTTTTTCAGTCTTAGATTACAAATCGTACTTTTATCATCTCTTATTTTTGGATTGGTCATTGTAGAAAATCAATATATGAAATCAATATACGAAAATATCAGAGTAATCTCATGCTAAATAATTGTTTTTGCAGTGTTAAACGAACATGTTATATTGCAAATACTTCTGTGGGGCTGTAATATTATAAAATTGTTATCTTTATCTGAACTGAAAAACAAATAACAAATGTTATGCAGTTCTGTCCTTGAAAAACAGCAGGCCTCGGTGCTCTTCAGTGAAAGCAGATCTTTTTATTTAAAGGATTGCTAGAGGGGATTACATATTACTTTGCTTCCCAGCAGGTTACTTTAGTCCTCCCACTTTCCTCCCGGCCCCACCCTACACAAACATTTGTTTTAGATTGAGGTCTTTCTCTCATGCGTAACCTTTCCACTGTCTCACCTTCAGTCTGCCAACTGTGTCTGGTCTCCTGTTTCTTGTTTTCGTGCTCTTTCTCCTTTCCTCTCCTTTCTACCAATCTTCCCCAGAAAAACCTTCCACTACTGGCCGTTGGCCTGATTCCCATCCCTCTGCATTCCCCCTGCCTCGCCCGGGGTTGCTGTGGGGAGGCACGGGGGAGAGCAACACTCGTCCTGCTCTTCTTTTTCTCCCTAACTCCGGCAGACACAGACGCTGTTTGAATAACAACCTTTGCTGTGATCAGTTTGCTTTTAAAGGTCACATTTGGATTTATTTCACACTAATGAAAGCTGGATTGTTCTCAGGCTGTAAATGAATAAGTCTAACAACTTTTGTTTTACTAGTTGTTTGAAAAAGAAATACACTTTTTAATTTAAAAAAATCATTAGAAACTTCTAGATAATTTTTTTCTTTATTTGGAAATTAATAAAGTGGTTCTTTAAGCAGTTAATATTGTTAATGAGGTTAACCATTAATCCACTAGTCATTATATCTGGTTAATCTGTAACTTTAGACAACTGACTCTTCTCTGTAGCATCATTAATGCTTGTATCTTTTTTTATTACGCGCACACTATTTTTTAAACCACTCTTACCCATAATAAAAACAAATAAAATATTAGAAAATAAAGACATACGACTTCATGCCATGCGTGTGAGGACACATCAGCCATTCGGCCCATTTCTGAGGTGAAATTAGAAGACTCGGCTTCTGGCATCTGCTTACTAAACCGATGTATTCCTCCCACATCTGACTCAGTTTGGATTTGAATCGACAATAGCGTGTTTGCTCTTCCCCGTGTCGGTTGAAAAGTGCACTAAGTGGAAAATCACTGCTGTTCTTTGAGGTGTGCCTCCTCCCAGTGCACGTGGTCCCTGGGCTTGTGCTGCCTCAACATGGCGGCTAACGCAGCACGGATGCCAGAGCTGCTGTGGTAGAGAGCGAGCGCATTAGAAACACAGCTAGAGCAGCTTTTGTCTATGTCGTGGCTCTGGAAAAAAGAAACATGTCTCGGCTGACACTCGTCCGTTTTTGCTCTCTGACCTCCAGTCCAAAACATGATTCAAAAGCTTGAGAATGCTGACAGATTTTTGATATTATGCTTTGATTTCAATTTCTAATGGTGAAAGGGAAAGTTAGCACAGAAACGTGCACATTGTCATGATGTAGTTCATCTCCCAATTGAGGCGCCATTAGAGCTCTTTGTGCCGGGCAGCATCAGCTCGGGTTTCTGTGTCTGTGTTTGTGGGAAAAGACGGCGACAGAGACCACTCTGTGCTGATTTGTATTTGATCAAATTTCTTTGTTTGTGCGTCAGAGGATGTCCTGTGAGAGTACTAAGCGTGTCTTTGTGCGTTTAAGTGCCCCTCTGAAAACACAAAAAAGGCTAAATGTGCCATGACTTTTTTTTTCTTTCATTATGTGGGCTGGTATGAGCCAGTTTGAACTATCTTTAACATCACACTGACATAAACAAATTTATAAATGGACTACTTGCTCCATGATAGGGATGCTTTAGTCTCGTTAAAGTGGCAGTTCATAAGGGGGAGTTTAATGTTGATTAACATGATAATTACATGATAATAACAGATCATTTTCTTCTCTCTTCCAGTGTGAACAGCCTCAACCTTAAGATGTCAAAGATCGGCACCTTAGTGTTGATGACACGTAAGTTGGAAATCGTTGAATATAAGCTTTTTCTTCTTTCTTTTTTTTTTAAAGAAGACAAAAAACTATTTGACCCCAATAGATTTATGAGCTTGTCTTTGAAAACCATTGGAAGTTTTTGTTTTTACTCAGCATAAAATCACAGAGGACTCAATGATGTGGAGTCACCTTTGTCCGTTGTTTCAGCAAACAAACCAAATCGGTTCGCAGTGGAAAAATGGATCCAAGAGAAAAACTTGAAACGCCATGGAAAATCTGTTTTTCAGTGAAGCGATATAAAGTTTCTGTTTCTTTTATGGCAAAAATCCAACAGATCTCTGTCTTCTGAGGGCAAAATAACTGAGTTTGAATTGAATTTCATCAGCAGCTTTTTTAAATTAAAATCTGAGCATCACCAGTTAGAGCACAAAAGTTGGTCCTGTAAAAAAAAACACACAAACCAGTCCTGTTATCATAGAGCATTGAATTTGAAATTCTACCCCATAAAACTCGTAAGATACAGCATAATTCCGGCTCTTATGCCTCAGTGTAAGCTTTTCCACTGAGAACCAGTGTTCATTACTGATTGCTTTAACTGTAAAGCTTTTTTTATTGCACAATAAGCAGAAGTTACTCACAGATAATCCATGACTCCACTTCCTCTTTATGGAGGAAAACATGCCTGAAGGCCAGCACTTCTGTGCCCCACAATTCTGATGCATGTGTTTGTGTGTGTCTTCTTCCAGTTGTGTCCATGGTATCTGCGGAAAATGGTATGTACTGAGATTTGTGTTTTGATCTGATACCCCACCCCTAGGTCAATTTGTATTTCAGCTACCATGCCTTCCCATCATGCTTTACTGTCTTGTGTTTACATGTTGTTTCTGTGTGTCATCACCGTAACTGAACCATTTCATTTCTGCTTCACAGAGGAGGCCGACCCCTTCACCTTTGGTAATTCCCTTTTTTCCTCTTTTTTATCATTAGTAGTTGTGAGCGTGGCAAAAACTGTGGCTAGATTAGTGTAATGTGCGCATGGGTCTCGTGACTTTTTTTTAACATTCCCCCGTGGAACTGTGTGTTCTTGTGGTCTCACTGGGATTGTGGTGTGTGTGTGCAGACTACCACAGACTGCGTGTCGGAGGTCTCATCCTAGCTGCTGTCCTCTGTCTCATCGGCATCACCATCCTGTTCAGTAAGATTCTCACATGCATCCAGAAGCACCGTTATCCTGACATGTAATTGCTCAAAGACACAGAAATAACAAGGGCTGTTCTTCCTCTCACGTAGGTGGCCACTGCAGGTGCAAGTTCAACCAGGACAAGAGGTGACACTTTTAAAAGAGAGGAAGAAAAGAAAAAACTTAGAGTTCCAACTGTTGTTTCTGACTCTTGCCTGTTTTCTTATTGCAGAAGAAGGACAGGAAGCAATGCTCAGCAGATGCTCAGCGACAAAGGTAATATTTACCCACCTGCTGAAAAAACGCTTTTATTTGCTCAAGATTAGGGCTAAACAGGAGTTAATAATATTCCAAAGAGTTGAAAATAAAAAAGAGTGTTCACTTTGTTTGACAGCGGTCATATGCAGTCATGCTGGGGTGTATTTAAACATACAGCAGAAAGAAAATAGCATTTTAGGGAAAGTCATCAGAGAATGTCACATTTAAGCAGGCTGCAAATATTTATTTCTTTACAGATCATCAGCATATGTGTAAATAAAAAACAATCAGTTTTTATCTGGACCTATTTCTGCCTGGCAGTCTTGTCTCAAGGTCCTCTTCTCCTTCAGAAATATTCAGTATTTCATAATGCACATGGCCCTTTGCCAAGATTGACAGTTATATTTATTCTGTCCATCTGGTTCACCCAAAACAGTCCTACGTCACACACAACACACACACATACTGACAAAGAATGGAAAGCATTCATGGAGAGCTGGACTGAGATGCCATGGACCTTGCTGTTCAACAGGTGGCGGGTCTCAGGGTGTCCATCAGGCAGATTGGAGGGGGGGGGGCTGGTTGTGTTAGAGGCAACCATATATTAAGGTTTTATTCAGACTTTTTTATCCTCTTCTTTGGCCAAATGTACTCCCGCCCACCAGGACCTGAAAAGGACATGTTTTTGTCACTTTAAGAAGAAAAAACCCTTTATTTTACGTTGATGTTTCCAGCTTCCATTTTCGGTTGTAGCAGCTTTGATGTAAGATTAATACACTTGTGGCCCATATGGAAAAACAGTTTGTGTGTTTAATATGTAAGCAACTCAGCAGGGGCCCACAGGGACACATGCACCGATGGATATTTTCCACTTTCGTTAGCTTGGCACTCTCCCTGTCCTTTGTGAAAGCCTCATGCAGAAGTGTGACACACTTTAGTCGTCATTTCCTAAAACGATCCCCGACTGTTAGAGGCTTCATTGTATTAAGGAAAAGTTTCGTTTCAAAGCTATATCAATTTTGAATTAAACTAAAGTAGAATTCACTGAAAAAAATGATTGCACAAACCCTCTCTCCTGTTTGGATGCGTGTGTGTCCACAGGTCGTGCCTGTGAATGTTAGATGTCTGCACACACCGGCATCCAAACCTGCAGACAACAGAAAACAAAGAGGAGCAGCGTTGGACTCATTAAACCAGAAAAAAATTGCTTTTGCTGTTATTCAGATCCGTCAACAGTTGGTTCCTGATCTTCGGTGTGAGGTTTTCTGCCCGAAAACTGAGCTACTGATCTGCAGCCTGCACCTCTACATGCGTGCTCAGACATGCTGTCCATACGCTTGTGTCACTTTCATTTCTCTCAGTTAAACTCCTGTGGGACTAATACTCTACTTTGACCAGCAGTGAGGCCTCATGATTTCAAAATCTCCCAAAAGAGGTGAAAGTCTATTAGTCCTGCCAGACTTGACTGATTCAAGTGAGAGTGACTTAATCTAATAGCAACGCAAACTTCTTACCAAAAATGATCCTAAATGTCCATATGCAGTAGATCATGCCTGGCATTACTTCTGTTCAACATGTTGGATGTGTATGGTAAAGATTGATGTAGATACTAGTCACCTACTGTGTCCAACTTAACCCACTGTTTATATTTCCATGTCAGTTATATGAAATCCATGTAGATGTGAATATTTAGTGGTGTCTGTAATTCATGAGAATCTGTTAATCTACCTGTTGGGCTATATGGATGAATATCTTGGGTTGTACTGTTCAAAGAGTGGTTTCTATAAAACAACCTTTAAAACAACTGTGCGGCCTGTTCTTCACTGTGCGTGCTTGCAGTCTACTGTCCTTCCCATCACACTGTAACATGAGTGGGTCTCCTTGAAAGGGAAAGCCTGCATTATCACACCTTTATATTTAAAGAAGAGACTCCCGGTAACAATTCCTGAATTACAGGGAGCTTATGAATGGAAGCAGCAGAGCACCAGCCACACAAGCAGCTAGATACCTTCTCTCTTGGCTCAGTGGATCCTTGCAAAGCTTATTGGGGCCACTAGATGGAGTACTCTACTGCTAGAGTACAGACATTCAGCTTGCATGGACTATTACACTGGTAAACGGGAATTGTGCTTCATGCATGTCATTATTTTTCGATTTTAACAGTACAAAGATTTTTCAATCAATGTCTTTCAAAGTGTGGACATCACTATACATTATTGGCATTTCATCAGTACTTGAAGATAAAAATGTTATTCATGTCATTTCTATGTGTATTTGTTTATTGAGGAGATAATACTTCAGCTGCTGACAATACTTTGTGCCTCTTGCACAGGTTCCTCCAAAGGAAAAAGTACACACACGTATTTTAATGTTGGTGGACCCCTTGGTCATGGGTTTATCATAGCTCCAGTTCCTTCAGACCTGGGGTTCACTGTAAGTCCCACAGAGGACGCTGTGGACTCTTCCCTGCTACTTCTTCAACTTCAACTTACTTATGTTTTGTTTTCTTAAATACTCAAAAACCTAGGGATAATAATAAGGTAATAAGAAATAGTCTAATAACAGGGAGAAATTCAGGAGATAAATCTTTTTAGTGTGTGAAGAAAATATTCCAGGGACATGTAAACTGTGTGAATGAGTCAAAGGGGCTCCTGACACTATCATCGGCCTCCGTCTCTCTAGTGCACAAACACTGATTGGGCTGTAACCAGCATACATTCTTTTTAAAAAGGCATTAACTTCAATTCAATGGATGATCCAACATTGTTTGTAAATGGAAAGAAAACACAAAATCTGCTTGAGTTAACTCTGCAAATGTACAGATATGTGCCACAAAATTTGACCCTGGAAACAAAAAAGGAATTCAAACATACACTTTGGATCTTTTTTAAAAATGTACATTTTTACATTTTTTAAAGAAATAAATGCAACAGGTATATATGGGGTAGTGTGTCACACGACATAGAATTTAGCAAAAACATTGTTTTGAATGGTGAATTCCTCACTTTTCCTAGAGCTGCTCATTACACAAACACATACTTCATTTATATTATATTGGGATGCTTATAAAAAGTAATTTAAAAAAAAAGTTATGATGTGCTTACACAATGTACTGACAATGTTTGATCAAACCTGAACAAAGGGTGGAACGCATGAAGGGCGAGTTCAGATTTACAGCATCTGAATAAAATTCATATAAATCTCCAACCTAACCTGGTAGACTGATCTGGCTCTTCTGTCTCTATTGGTCCATCTTTAGTTCACTGAATTATCATCTGATATGAGCTAAATGGAAGGGGTGGCTGTCAACAAAAGACACAAAAGGTAAGTGAAACAGAGAGAAAACATTCAGGGACCCCACATGACACCAGATTTGGACTGACCATCTGTGGCAGCAGGTCTCATGGAGTGATGACCCCACCCCTCAACCAAGACCTCAACATTAAAGTAGAACAATAGGTGGGGATCATCCAAAGAAAAGGTTTTTGGTGTCTTTTCAGAGCTATTCGGGAAAACTTTATTGAAGCTATCAGAAGAGGATTTAGCTTGTCAGAATTGTCATTCCAGGTAATCATGCATGTTTAAAAAATGTGCTTGGTAAATGACATCGAAGCAATATTGTAAGTGACATTGAATTGTTTAACATAGACACAGATAAAATATCAACGACATCCTAGAACGGACTATGGAACATAAATTAATACTTACAATAGTCATAAATATCATGTATCTGCCAACCTTCTGGCTGTTGTTGATTCATCGCTGCATTTGGGAGCTTGGGAAGCGTTTAAAGGCTGTGCAGTGTATGGGGAAGGCTGCCCAAACTTTAAAGTTGTTTGAAATCGTTTGCACGTTTAAAAAAACGTGCTTGGTAAAGGGCATCAAAGCAATATTGTGAGTGATATTAAATGGTTAAACATAGACACAGATAAACTATCAACAGCATCTTAGAAAGGACTATGGACCAATGATAAATATTTATAATAGTCATAAATTTCATCCCTTTTTCTGCCAACCTTGTGGCTGTTGTTAGGCTATAAAAATGTTGGTTTCCAGTTAACGTTTGTGTGAATGTTGTTAGAGGCCAGCCCTAGAACCTCCTCATAGTGGTTTACACCTTAAATAATTTGTACTAGAGTAAAGTCTTAGAATGTGACTTCAGCATGAAAACTATTATTTAAATGCTTTGAAAATATAAGTTTGAAAATAATTTCTATAGCACAAGTGATTACTTAACTTTTCAGGATTTTACAGAGTGCATACAGTCAATTATGCTTATGCATCAAATCACACTCCAAAGTAAATGATCAACCAGTGCTCCTCTGTGCTTCTGATTGGTCCGAGGTTCTGTGAATTTAAGCGAGTGGGAGCACAACGAAGCATCAGACCGGCTGAAAAAGAGGAACTTCTGCACAAGAAAGGCCACGGGCTACAAGATTGTGAGTTCATGAATCCCAACAATTTCCCAAGCTCCCAAACACAGGGATGGAACAACAAGTCCTTCTCAGGTGAGCCATCTGCTCCTCCGCCCTATTTTGGACAGTCTCAACCCAACCAAGGATACACAACTCAACCGCAGGTAAATAGCTCAAAAAGTTACATAATGTTAAATGTACCCCTTTTATATGACAAGTGTGATATTTCCAGTGTCTGTCTCAAATCACTGTAAGGACTCTCTGATAAAAATGCCATTTCATGAGTCTGGATTTAAAATAGTTATGGATAGCCTTTCCCCCTTCTTTCGCTTAGTTGCTCATTGTTAAAACATTTTCTTTTGTGCTAAAAAAAATTGAAGTAATACACTTTTTTACCTTACAAAGACACGTTTCTAACTGCATTGTTGGTTCACCTTTGTGGTCTGCAGGGCTTTACCTTTTCAACAAATATTCCACGAGCAGGAATCAACCAGCAGCCTCACACTACTGACCGGCAACAGTTTGGGCAGCCTTCCCCATACGCTCCACAGCCTTCCCCATACGCTCCACAGCCTTCCCCATATACTGCGCAGCCTGCTTCGTATATAGTTCAAACTACTCAAGTCTCACATGTACCTCAAACCCATGTCAATGACTACTTGGCCTACTCCATCTTCACCATGCTCTGCTGCTGCCTGCCACTTGGAATTGGGGCTCTCATCAGTTCCATATCAGTGAGTTCACTGACTCGCATTTGCTTTATTATCTTTATTTATTTTATTATCTCTATTCTTTTTACGTGTTCATTTATACTAACTTATGGTGAAAAATCTATTTTGAAGTTTGCTGAACTATTACTATTAGCCTGGGGAACCAGCGAGAAAGCACTAAGCTGTCATTATTTTCTAAACCGAAGATTAGAAAATAACTATTGAGAAACAATAATTGGAAATGAATCTGATTGTATTTTCTGCTGTTTAAGATGTAAAAAAAAAGTAGATTCCCAAAGTACTGAGCTTACTTAGCTCACAAGTATTTTTTGCTTATATACTACAAGCCTGTGTGTTCTTACATTAATTCTAGGGGCATTACTACAAGTCACTCTTCCATGAATAGATTTTTAAAGCAAACTTCAGCTACAACTTTTGGATGCATGTAAGAGAGCTATTTAGATTTAGGCCCACCCTGTGTGGAATATTATAACAAAAGAAGATTGAATATAAAAAATACAAAATTGAGGCCGGTTTGATAGCTCAATATTCTAACTGATGTATTAGCTGATGATGGGGTTTCTGATGAGGCAAGACCACCACCATGATAGTTTTCTTTTTTTTTTAAATCCCATCTTTGATGGGTATAAAGTATACTGACCTTGATCACTGAAGACTGGAATGTGTCATTTGGTTTAACACGTTGTCAACACATTTATAACATCAATAAAGTACACCGCATACGCTTGGATTGTGATGATTGGTGCAAGTTTCCAGTCATGTTCTGCCCACTCTTGGCTATTTTGAAATGGCTGCCTGTACGGCAAGGCCCTGATTAAAAATGATTAACAGGTGTTCTGTTTCGATCAGATAATGCCCTCTATTTTATGTTGGTCCGTGCTACTAATAAAAGAGATACAATGCTGGCTGATCTTGTAGAATGTAGCACAAAATGCACTGATTACATCCATTACCAGCTGCTACAAGCAGGTGCTTGAAGCTTGAAGCTTTATTATAGTTTCAGAGCCTAATTTTCCCCCCAACAAATTGTCACCAAGTTATCCTTAACATCTTATGGCTTTAATGGCAAAACAAATTTTTTTTTACTCAAATCTGAGATAGATTATTTTGCTATTATTGAAAGCTTGAGATAGTTTGTTCCTTTCCCCCTATGAACACTTGCCTGAAACATTCCCATCATACCTTTACAGATTAGACCCCTTAACATCAACCGTTGTCTTTGTAAACGTGACTCATTATCATTGTGAAGGGCCAAGAGCAAAAAAAAAAAAAAAAGACATGAACTCTTTGAACAGACTAACACAATCTCACCCTGATAAGGAAGGAAGATATGCTTAATCAAATTTCAAAGTGATATATCTGGATAGAGCATCATTCTGAAGCTCTTTAAATTGTAGTACACTTTCTCTCCAAAGAAAAATATTAGATTATCTTTCAGGATAGTAAAGAACAACACTTCACAGGAAATGAATACACCTCTGAAATAAAAATGGCCTTTGCTTTAATGAACTGAACACAGAGGAGTTTTACTCCTATCCCTGAGCTGCTTGTTCTGCTGTGAAACTACAGACATGACTACTGACCAGGATCATGAGCCACTTAACATAAAGGTCTTCCCAAATACCCAACTTATATCATTCATTCCAAAAATCTTTTGTTTATGGAAGAATTGTTTCAGTTTAAAAGCATACCCAAAAGCAAAGCTTAATTACTTTAAATTTCTTCATTCCTTTAGGTCCGTGAGGCCAATGAAAGGGGTGACCAGCAGGCAGCTGCGCAGAAAAGCAGGACCGCACTGATTTTAAACAACGTGGCCCTCGGAATTGGACGTGTGGTCTTTGTCTCAGTAATCATTTTCGTGATTGTTATAAATGTTAATGTATGAATTTGTTTTAACATCTGAAGTCACCTAAAACACTAATTAAACAATTTTTGTTTTCCGATGAGAATGCCATCAGTCACACATCAAATGTTTCTCATTTGAATGTGCACTTTTCCAAAGGATGAATGCTGGTCTTTTTAATGCACTGCTGGATTCTGCTAAAGTGAAACACAATCATGTCTTCATCTCTGACTTCTCTTTTCTCTGTGCAAAATTAATTTCTTCAGCGTTTATATGATTAAGACAATAAAGTTAAATGTGCTATCTAGACATTACCAGAGAATTTATTGAAAATATTTCTATAACAGATTCCATTCTGATATCATGGATGTTATTAAATGCTTTAAACAGAATGCAGTGTTAACAAACACATTTGTTAGTTTCTTGAAGGCTTTTCCTATTTTATCTTTTTTTCAATAATTTCAAAATTAATGCTACCTTCCTTGACCGGTTTATGTTGTATGACACCTCAATACAGTTAATTCAGTGGCCTTCTTTCATGGAGCCGCACAGACCTGAACACACAGCTTTTTTTTGCAAATAAAGTGTTCCTATATCAAATCTTCCTGACTAATATATTGTCTCTGATTGTTCGAGACTGTTTTGTATTGTGCAACAAACTAACTACACCATCTCTGCTTTCTCAGAGAGATCTCACATTGGTCAGATCCATTTTCTTGTGTCCTAGTTTTACTTGGGCTCTCTGTTTTTAATGTAAAAAAAATGCATTAAAAGGCAGCCCCCACTCTCGTCCACTCAAGATTTAGACAGAATAAAAGGCAAAAAAACAAGTAGCCAGCACACACGAGTAATACCTGGACTTTGGATTTTTTCTGGGTTGTGATGGCAAAGCTAATGCTTCATCTTTTTAAATCCTATCTTTTGTTCTTGTTCTGTCACATTCATGACACCAAAAGAAAAGATCTTCATAATACCGAGCAGCGTTTAGTATTGCAGTTTATATGATCCTGTGGGGTTTAACAGTCAATGGAGTTACATTAGTTGGGTCAAGCTTCCAGTAAGAGTTTGAATGTGTTTGTTAGTTTCGTAACTCTTTACATCTGGAGGGTCAGAATGGCGCCATTGACTGAATTCCAACACAGCAAAGCTCTGACCTCTTGGAGAAAATATTTTAAACAATCTGCCACTTAAATAATCTCTTTGGGAAATCACTGGTTTGATCAGTATGTTCATATTTCGGAATTTCTGTTGGACAGACATGATTATATATGGCAAAAGTGCAGCTGGGGTCAAAAGAAAGTATGGAAATATTTCTTTCGAGTGCTAAATATACCTGTTTACTCACGATGTAATGCAGATGAGTCAACTATAAAGCGTAGCCTCTTTGCTCAGACAGGCATCTTCACTGTGGTACCTGATTTAATTACATTGGCCTTGCAGACCAGTCACTGGGATGTACTGTGAGAGCCACATGATGATTACATCACAGCTGTAATTGAGAAGGATGTCTGGCCAGGGTTTAAAAGTTGGATGCACCGCATACATCCACCTGCACTAGAACAGCCAATCAATACAAAGGCTGATAGCAAACATATTTGTATAAGTTGTTTCTAGTTTGGAGTCAGTAGACCTTTTCGCAGCAGTCACTGTATGCATCACATCTGGAACTGCGCTGTACTGTACTGCACTGTATTACTGATTACTGGGTTCTGCTCTGGTGGACAATCCTGTTGTTGTGAGGAAACAAGGAAAGGGATTTAACCTAACTTTTTTTTAACCTATTGAGTATGTAAACTGTAAAAGTTTTTGGGCATATTGCTTATCTGAAACTGTTGGGCTAGAGACCTGAAACTTATCAAAATGTAAATCATCTACCACTAGCAATCCACACTGTGGTGAGCCCAGGAGGAGCATTGTCTTCCAGTAAATGTGTGGTTGTTGCCTGAAACCATGCTCTGTGCCCCTCCCTCTGTTTTCTGTTGATGAAGGAGGGCAGAGCTTTTTGCTGACTGCTCATCAGCGTCAGAGACAGAAAATCAAATACATGCACTTTAAAACAAGCAGAAAACACAAAGGGATTGCATTATGGTTGCATTAAGTAATCATGTATAACATTTTGCCACCGTTGAAAAAAAAGACTGTATTACCTTTTAATTATCATAATTAGCGTTTTGCCTAGTATTCGCTGTTCTTTTAGAACATATCCTTCAAATATTAACCATTTCAAACGGTTTTCAATACGAAAACCGTTACGGCAAATACGGCAAAACTCATGAACTCTGAGGTGAAACTTGTTTAGAATAAACTGTGCGTATTGTTTTCCTTTATTTATGCTTTAATAAGGCTATGGCGCTTTCCCCCCATAGAATGTGTAGGAGTTGTTAAAAGCCACCCGCTTCCCCCCTTCCTGTTCCAAAACTCCTTTTCGACGGAAAACAACCCTTCATCGTAATCGTAAATAAAAGAAATAGTGACACGTGTGATTAACCGGAAATCTACCCACGGTGTACCCTTTACGTGATTGTGTACCTTTGAATTGAAAGACGTGACCGGAAGTGTATCATTTTCTTTGCACAACTTGACACTAATGAGAACGCTTTCTCCAGCCTCTGGTACTTAATTCGTCTTTTCACTGCGGAGCCAAACATGACAAGCTCGTCTGTTGTGGAGAGGAAAATAAAAAATACTCATACTCAACTTCTCTGAAAGAAAGGGGCGATAATTAGAGGAAAGCCAAAGGAAAGATTTTATTTTAAAGCGAGCAAAGAATTGTGACTTTATGGATCCCAACAAGACACCCAGTGCTCCTCCAATGTGGAGTGAAGAGAAGGCATCCATGGTTGAGTCCCCGGCCCCTCCGCCCTACGAGGACCACCCCTATCCGGGCTACCCTCCGCCCGGCCCGGGGTACCCCGTCCAGCCTCAGGTAACTCACGTGGAATGCTTACACTTGTATGTTAAAAAGGACTGAATCCAAAACGTTATAATAGATAATACCTAATAATATCAATAACTCCTAACGGGTACTTTTTCTTTTAGCGGGAAACGTTTTTTTTCTGTCTTTTTTTTTAACGTCAAACTTAAAAAAACTTTTTTGCCGCATATTGATGGAAACCTCGTCGAAAATGATGTAGTTCTTGATTTGAACAATTTGTCCAATAAAAGGGGACATTTTCCCCATCTTCTGCATCCTTTTTGTCCATTTTTAGGTTTCATTTTACTTGGACAGTTGGCTGTTTTTTGTGTTTTACGAACCGGTAACTCTGAATAAGTGGGATATGTGATGTATGTGTGTCAACATTTTCGACTGATAATATGAGTCACTGTTTGTCGGTCTTAAACAATACATTTTTAATATTTTCCTTGGATGTATCCTATATGTATGAGACCTCAAAAGTCCCCGTCTAATGTAAGTTTCGTTTCCTCTGTAATTCACGGTAGATGTCCTCGGTAAGGTTCGGCCTCGCCCCCAGGCTCTGGGGCTGAGGTCGATTCCGAGACTTTATCCCGAATTGAAACTCAATTGGTTAATATCTTTACTTTAGAGAGTCCCTTTCTACCTTACTAAATTACATAAGTAGTCACATCACATGCATCCCTCCCTTTCTTTTCATATCCTGATTTTACCAGCCTTTTGATCCAGCGTTTTCTGTCTCCAGCCAAGTTGCTTTCAATTTCAAAATGAGCTAGAATTTTTATTTAATGAAGTAATGTCATATCTCGTTTAGAAAACTTTTTGTTTTCTTTCCTGTACTGTAATATATGGTTTATTTTGTGTATTCTTTGCCTGAAAACAGCTATTAAATCTAATAAACTCCTAAGTTTCCACTCATTATTGTGGGTTATCATTCTGCATTCGGACTTCCGGCTCAGGAAATGTGATCCATGAAATATACAGACAGATCAGAAACATAATGAGCTCTGGAATGGATTGTGGCTGTTTACCTTGCAGGGCCCTGGATATCCCCAGCAGTATGCTGGGGCAGGTTATGGACAGCAGCCTTTCCCCACTGCCCAGCCGTATCCAGCACAACCTGGTGCCGTAACTGCCCAGCCCACATTGTACATGGCTCAAGGCCCTCTGCAAAACCCTGTCAATGACTACTTGGGCTACTCCATCTTCACCATGCTCTGCTGTTGCCTGCCTGTTGGAATTGCTGCCCTCATCTACTCCATCTTGGTGAGTTTATTGCACATAGGCACCAAAGTTGGTGCACATGCCTTTTGAATATATAGATTTTTTTATCGTTGTACTCCCGTGATCACTATTATGCCAAATAAGCTGTTTTGGTTATAGAAATGCTTATTTTCAGGATGGCTCAAGCTTAAAAAATCCTGAAATGTACCCTCAAGTCCAGCCTGTCCAGCTACATTCACCTACATGCATGGCAGTTTGTGGATAACTTGACCATTTTATGACGAATATTTAAAAAGCCTCTTGGGGGTGTATCCAAAACCCAACAAGAAGTCGCATCTTTGATCCATCTACATATAATTGTAGAGGTCTGAAAGTGGCTCCATGTCGTCAGCACACATTAGTTTTCATGTATGCTTGCAGTTATTCCCCCATGATGATACACATACTGAACAGATGTAAACATTTTGTAACAATAAGACACTCGTGTGTCATTTAAAGGCCATTACATTGTTTGGGGATGAATCCCTGTTAAACCGTGAACATCCATGGTGAATTTTTGATGCTTTGCCATTAAACAGGAACTGGTTTTAAGCCACACATGTCAGTTTCCTGCAGTGCGTTGTCCTTCATCACTCACTTTGCATGAATAACAGCACACATTTTCACCACTCATAATCACATCATCATCTCCCGGTCATTCACCATTGCTTGCAGATTATTTCCTTCTCTATGCTCCTCCTTGTTTTGTGCACTGTAAAAAATTTGGCACCTACCAGTGGATGAGAGTCCTTCCGGCAACATTTAGGTGTGCGACATCGTAAAATATCAGTGTTTTTACTTGTGTTCTGAAAAGTAAATCACATATTCTGTTTAGATTAACCAAAGCCCATAGACAAAGTTATTATTAGTCCCTAGAACATGAAAGCGATTTAAAACAGCTGTTCTTGAAACAGAATTTGATTCATTTGGTGTGGGACAGAAACTGTCATTAAATTGTTTTTTTTGTTGTTTTTTTTCATTCAAACAGTAGTGAGATCAGGTTTTTTGGGGAAAATAATTTTATTTATAAAAGGTCCTATAATCCTCCTGCGTAACCTTTCTGAAGCCGGCGCCGTGTTTAGGTTGTGGCTTTCAGGCTATGTGTTCATTTGCCATTCCTCCTATCATGCAGCAGTTGTTGGAATTCTATTTTTGAGCGGTCTTCATTTAGCAGACGGTCTTTGAGTGAATGTTTCTCACATTAATGACAGCTCTGCTTTCACATTGTTAACATGGCTGTTTGAGTGAGGCACACAGAACCTCTGTCCCTTTCTCATTAAAAAGTACCTTTAAAACCCCACTTACATTAATTTTTTTCCTTCTGAATATCATTTTAAAATGGCATGCCTGTTAAAAAAAAGCATGTCCCAACAACTGTGATGGAACATCAAAAAAGTATTACTGCATAAAACTGCTTTGCAGTTCCAAAGGGCAGCAATAAGTAACCTTTTAAAAGAAATAGACCTTTAGCAAACATTTTTCAGACAAAGTTGACAGTAACCATCTGTGGCTTATTTAAGTGTTCAAAACAAAAACACACAATACTTATCAGTAGAGCCTCCTTTGGAAAGAGATGCTTGGTTTTTTGCTGCTCCTCCCTTTACTCATCCATCCACTCTCCGCTGGGGGGGAGCCCACCTTAGCCAACAATGGGCGAGAGGTGGGGTCCACCCTGGACATGTGGCCAATCCATCACAGGGCCCCATAGAGACAAACAACCACATTCACTCCTAGGGGCAATTCAGGGGGTCCACTTAACATAACATCAGGTTTCTGGACGGTGGGAGGAAGCCAGAGTGTCTGGAGGGAACCCACCAAGACTCAGGGAGAACATGAAAACTCCACACAGAAAGTCACGGTCCCCCTGGGGACTCGAACCGGGAACCCTTTGGCGGTGAAAAAGTTATGCCAACCACCATTGCTGCCTTATTTATTTATTTATCTGAGAAAAACCTGAAGCTTTGGTTTTCCTTTGGTGTTGGAGGGCAGACAGCACTGTTGGTTTGCATTGTTACCATAGGGGCCCTGGCAGTATCCATTGTTGTTCAGTTCAGTGTGGAGAAAAAAGGTCAGGGTACTCGTGAAGCGGCGATAAAGAGCTGTGTACTCATGTGACACACGGCCATCTCTTGTATAGGAATGTGGAAAATACAAAAGAATGCTTTGGTGTCGTCAATCCTGAACCCCAGACGTTAACATGACTTGTTTATATTGTAATTGAGCAGCCTGAACAAACCGAGGCTGAACAGTACCTATAATTAAAGCTACAAATGAAAGGTATTTATCATGATAATGAGGAGCTCTGAAGTTTTTGCATCACACTTAATCAGCTCTGTGGCTACTTCATCCCCTCTGAACCACTCATCCAACTTAAACACAGTCAAGAACAGGCAGCCAGCTTAAGAGATCTTCAGCTAGATCCAGCAGGAACTTCAACACATTAAAACTGCACCCCAGTGTTTGTGTTAATTTCCAGTTAGATCACATAACTAAAGCTACATGGAAAGCCCTGGTATGATTTCATGTGTTGCTGCAGACGCTCCATTCAACAATATTGTTCTCTTTTCTTCTTCTGTTTGAAGACAGTTAAACAGTTAACTTGTTTAAAATATTCTATCAATTTCTTCAAGGTTTCTTCTACAAATACTTGAGGTGATTTATAATAACTTCTCTCATAATTTGTCCAAGTTTTCAACTATTCTCATGCTTCTTTCATGCTTAATGAAAGAATGAAGCACGAAGTCAGTTCAACCTGGTTTCTGTCAAAAGTGCTTTTCCCCCATCTTTTGTTCAAAGTTTGAACATTCTCATTACTCAGCATTAAGGGTGTGGCCACAAAAGATCTCCAATGGAGGGGTCTTCAGTAGTGCCCGCTCAGCCCTGCTCAGGTCTCGACTTGCATTTTTACACCCAGTTTAGGTGGTTTTCCATTGCAAATAAGGTCTGAACAGAAAAGCGGGTCGAACGACCTGTGATGTCATTTTGTTTGCGGCACGAGCACCAGACAACAGTGACGGACATGGCTGCAACGGGAGGCCAGCTCAGCCTCAGTGTGGGGTCATATTAGGCATTTTATAGCGTTGATGGTTACAGAAATGATTAATTCGTCTGTTTATCATATGGACGAGGTTCACGTGAAGGAGTGCCCTATTGAGTCATCTGACGCTCGAGCCAATCCGCTGTTGGCCTGACTGGGCCTGACCTGGATACTCATCTCGGTACAAATTTTTTCACGGTTACAAGGTGCCAGCCCCTGATGCAAAATGATGAAAAGATTAAAAGTCAAGTCAAACCACACTGAGCAGGTACTAGTTGAAAACCCCCATAAGTTGACTTGGTGGCAGGATGTCAAACCACGAAAAGCCCTAGTTGCATGCACGTGAACATGTTTGAATAGTCTGGCTGTTATTGGCACAGCTGAAGCAATTTACATGCATGTGCAGATAACATTACCATCACAGACAGTGGCATCAGAATAATTAGCTATTCAATAAGAGCCATTCTGATTAGGACTCAGCAACACTGAAAGCACTTATTCATCATTTGAAATGAAAGATGAATAATTTATCCCACCAAGCTTTCATGTAGCCCAACTTGACTGTGACCAACATATCACACCGTGCCCTGCAAACGAGAGCTCTGCTGTTCAACATGCTGTAGAGCGAACAAACATCATTCCCTTGTTAATGGAAGAGACGTTAATCAAGTTTATGCTCTCTGTTTGTGAGGCCGTAGACGACGGCGGGCTGTGGAGCACTCAGTCTCCTCGCCATTTTAAACCCTCCTCAAATGTATACACATGAAAACCAACAAAAGCTGTGTTGCTGTCCAAACATCTGCACCAAACATCCAAACCATCGATTATTGAAAATGTATGAAAAACAGATAAGCAAAATTACTTGTGAACATCTTTAAAACCAGTGTACTTCGTTTCAGAGGGAAATGTTACACTTGTATTAAGAGTTAGCTCTGTGTTATGGAAAAACTTTGGAAATATATATTACCTAGCCTCCCAACCCATATTAAAACATCAAAGTATTTTTCCTCAAGACGCTGGCTCATTTCACCACTGAGTTTCTTTTGGGCATTTGGACTGTTTCTGGCATGTTCACATTTTTCAACCTGGAAACAAGATAACTCCGTTAACTTTAATGCAATTAGCGTATCACGTTTCAGTGTAGATTCTCAGCCATTCTGCCGGTTGAGCCCCGAGCAGCCACGGCTGCCTCCTTAAAGGTTTACAAATGATTCAGTATAAATCCACGTCTGTGAATGTTCTGCTGGTGTTTGATTGGGGGCCACTCGCATGTTGTTGGTTGTCCTATCACAGTGAAGCTACCAGTACCCAAACCGCTGTGTTTCAGTTGCACAAGTATGGCCTGCAACTTCTCAAGCTTGTTTATCTTGACAAGAGCTGGCACTTCCCACGTGAATCAAAATCCTGCAGCAGGGGGGGTGGAGAATTAAAGGTCGTTTTTTAGGATAGTTGTTTTAGTTAATGTTTAATTAAAGGGGAGCGCCACTTTACGTGCTTTCTGTTAGCAATAACCCAAACTAAGTTAATTTGCTTTCATTTAGCCTGTTGTAAGAAAACACTTGGAGCTAAAGCAAGACCACAAAGGAACAGACACCAGCTTGTAAAAGTGAGAGCCTAAGACTTCCTTTTTTGAAACTGGGACATTTTGTTTTGAAGTATGCCGCACAGTACTCTCAGGTTCTATTCATCGTAACAGGGAGGCGGTAAAATTGTGCAGTATGTCGCTGCCTTTTAAACAGAGTTACCTTACTGAGTTACCTTACTGAGGCCACAAATGCACGCGTTTATCGTCGTCATCTGACTCACATCTGGCTCCTTTTTTGAGAGCAGGTCAAGCCACCTAGATCTCTTAATCACTGTCCTTAAAATGTATGTGAACGGCTTATTATCTTGGTCACTCCCCTTACCAAGATCAACAGGCCTTAAGGCGCTGTCTATTTTCTGGTGGGGAAGTTGGAGCTAAAGTAACATCTCCCATGATGAGGTTTTACAGCACAATGTTCCACTTCAGAGT